CCTGAAATTGTATCATTGTGTATTCTATAAAAAGAAGTAAAACTAAAAATATTAAAAAGGTCGATATATAAAGTCTCGGAGCTCCTGCCGTGAAGCATCACATTTGCGTAGGTGACCTTCGTACATATATGCTTACCAACAATCACATTAAAGTACTCAGTGAAATAAGCTTTGACTGAATGGTACACGGAGCATTCACGGCAAACATTTTTAATCTGTTGAACACGAATGGAATGCTACTTTGAGCAGTAAATAAAAATAAAACTTGCTTTATTGTGGATTGATTACACAAATTTTTGCCAGTATTGATTTACGCTTGATACTCGATTTCAGGAACCCCCATTTACTGTCAAAACTGAAAGCGGTTGGACCGGTTTCACTATCGAGGTTTTTGAGAACATTGCAAAGAAGCTTAATTTGCGTTTCCTATATGAAGAACAACCTAGACCGGAAAATGTGACAAGGGATCCCACGTGGGACTGGACCGGGATAATTGAAAGATTGCATACCAAGGTGAACAGTGTGTTTGTGTTCACTTGGTTTTTCTATTCCCTGTAACGATCACTTTGAGGTTACTAATGAATTTTTGTGTTCACTATATCCTTCGGATAAACTGTCTCCGGCGAACCGTAACAACAAGTTGAATTTCACGGTGTATTCGCTGTTGGTAAGATATTAGAACATCTACGGTGAATCGAGCTTCACGAATCCGGTACTCGGTGTGTGATCACTGCCGTGGAGTAGTAAGTACTACGACAAATTTGCAGTGATCAAATCAAAATATAATGCATCTGAATTATTTGATACATTTTCAGTTTTTGATGCAGTACGGTGATGATCAAGCAGTAAAAGTCACAAATTAATCACATCGGAGGAGAGGTACTTCCGAATACCAACACCATGGGCTGACTTCCCCTATTTTCTGTGTGTTGCGGAAAATCCTATCATTGAGCATTCAATAAAAAGAAAAAAAATGAAAGAATAAAAAGACCAACTGTAGTCCTGGCCGATGGTGATGCACTGAAGTATTTTCTTTCTGATCAAATTGAGTTTCATTATATTTATCACCTATATTATTGCTTTCGGTGTGGACAATAATTTATCTCTTATCTACTTCGATCTACGTAATTTCTAGGCTGTATGACTGTCAATTAAACGTGCCTGACCTTGGCTGCCAAGATTAAATAATCTCAACAAGAAAATCGCAAACTTTATTAGTATGAAAACGAAATATATATTCTAATAGTAGCAACTCAAGAATTATCCCAAATTATTTCCATAAATCCTTGCCATCTCGGTTATATGTTATGAGGCTTCATTTTATCCGAGATAATCCATTATAGCAACTCTATTGAATAACCGAATGAAATTATTCTACAACCCGAAGAAATTGCAATAAATAAGGTTTCATGATAATAATCTATATTCAATAGCTAACTCACTGAATTCGAAAAATACCATTTTCATAAAGTGAACCTTCAGATTAAGGTCATTTTTGTGTACAGCTTTGAATGTTCGTATTGTTGTCACCATAATGAAGGAAGCAGCGCTCAAGAATAAAAGTTCTCGTTATCTCGGTGAAGACGACAGAAACAAAATTACACGAGCACACCACCCCTGGATTTACTATATCAAATCTTACCTAATGCTTTAACGTTACGAAAACACAATTTCCAGGATAATCCATGGGAAAAAACAACCAGAACAGCTTGTGAAGGCCGTAAATCGAGTACATCCAAACAGGTGGACAACTTAATTTGTATTACCCTGAAAAAGCTTTGCAGAAAATCGTTGTGATCTGTCCAACTAGAAGATCTTCAGGATAAGCCTGCGTGTCATGTTTCATGAGGGGTTAGTAAATTTATTAAGTTAAGGATATTGATTCACTTATAGTTTGCTTTTAGGCTTCAGAAAAGAGGCGTGTCTCTAAGGTTCAGTTCATGCAACTTCCCCCTAATAGCCCGGATCTCAATGTGATTGAAAATGTATTTTCTGTTTACAGAAGATAGGTCTACGTGCTACCTGTATATTGGGCATTGGAGGCAAAACTGCAGTAGGTAATGGAGCACACAATAGAAAAATACTTCAAAACAAAGTTGATGGATTCGATGCCGAAGAGACTCGAAAAAGTCATAAAGAACAAAGGCAGACCAAATCACTATTAGTGTACGTAAACTCTACATCTGAATTATTATTATCGTTAATTTTTGTAAATGAAAATTGGTTCATTCTCTTTAGTTAGGTCTTAACTTGGTCAGCCACTACTGACGAAATGGGAATGTCCTCGACATTCTGAACCATTCCGTCTGCTGAATACAAACGGATCAGGAAAAGCAATGCTATAAAGACTCACCAAGGCTTATTTATTACCATTTGGAAGAAAACTACTTCAGTATGAAAGCTGGTGCCTATACGAATCTACAGGTGTTTCACGGGGACCCGTTGCTTCCGTTTCGATAAGACCTGTAATAAAGGTTATCATCCATTACAGTCAACGCCATCCATTCTATGTTCAGTGATGATCTCTTTCAAATTATTACTGTTAATATCGCTTCTTCTTCTATTCTTTCTAGTAAGACAGAGTGCCTTCTAAGGACGGTGAAAACAATAATATAAAGCCATCTTATCAATCTTTCGGTGAACTTGACCAGTGGTTTCCAATTCTCAGCTAATAGTCAGATTATACCGCTAAGCTAATTTTGGTTTCCTAATGCCATTCTTTGCTAGCTACTCAGTTAATCCATTTGTGTCCATCAACTAGTGACACGGTCCTTGGGTCACTGATTTATTACACTCGGTATAATCAAGACGATCCTGCATGGAAGTTCGAATGTGATGGAAAAACTTCTAGTGAAATTAACAGCTAGTTAGCCATTTCCTTTTATTGCTGTCGGGTACAATGACCTATCTGATTTTCACTAATAATGACAGCAGAACGAAAATTCATTTGGTAATTCTGGTCAGCTTCAGTGTGTGCTGCTTGGTACAACGGTAACACAGTGCCTTCCACGCGGAAGATGTAAAGGAGTTCAAATGCCAGAATAGTCGTCAGATATGCACTATTGATGCGGACGAAACACACATCTATTTCCTGTGTAAATGGTTGATTGCTTTTTGTAAGAACTGTGTGTGCGGACGAATTTCAAAGGTATTCAGTCTAAATCAATATAGCGGGAATGTTGGTAAAGTTCCTTGATGACGCGTCAACATGATATATGGATCTCCATGCTTTTGGGAACATTTAAAATGATAATTAATCATTAAATAAAGCTAAAGCAATCCGCATATCTTCCACCTTCCCGACTATATGTTAAATGAGAATAACCTAGTTTGGTCCACCTCTATAAGAATAAAAAGTTGATTTGATGATGCGTCTTCCCATATTGAAGATCACAGCCTCAGTTCAATCTACCTCGTTGAATGTGTCAGAATAAGAGGCGTTCAGCAACCACATCAACATGCAGGATGTTTGACAACCGCCTCGGTCGAGAACCCGGTTGAATCAGGCTGAAGGCGTATTGTTTTATACAGCCTGAAGTAAGCAGTAAGTATTCAAATATACGGGAATATTTTATTGGTTTTGATATTTAAAAACATGTATTTTTATGAGAAACAAGTTTTAGTCTGCAATCTAATGTGTTGGAAACCTTTTACACTTTCTAGCACTATGGGGATTTTCGGCAGCGATAGTCCACCAGGCAAGGGGCAATATTAGATTGTTTATTCAATCGAATAAATAATCTTTCAGTCCCAGATTAAAAAAACGTTGGAGTCAGTGCAGAAATTTTTTTGCTATGGAGAAAACAAACTCAGTTTGTAAAAAAAGGGTTAGAGATCCAATGAACTGCATGGATTTTCTAGACTGTCCTTCTAAAACTTTCTGCACTTTAGCACTATAAGAAGAATGAGAGCTTATCGGTCAATTTGACGAGTACAAACTAATAGTTTTCGTCTGCTTGACTGTTATACCTCTGTATCTTATGATGAGTATTTAACACCTTCTGATAAAAGGTAACAGGTGCAAACAGGTGCAAAGAATTTCCAATTGTCTTTACTTGAAGAAATACAATGCCAAATCTGTATCAGACATATATTCATATGAGAACATGTAGGGCCGAAAAGGAACAAAATGACCACCAGTAAGTCCTTTATGTCAGCCATGGCCGTTCTGAAGTGTTTCCATTCATATTGGAATTTATTGGTCAGCAGTACTGGTTAGCTAGATAGCAAACAATTCTCCCTCTTGCTGTCAGTTCATAAATGGAATAAATGAGATCGAATTAAACTGAAGAAAAAGCACTTACTTAAAACATAGATTATGTGAGTATTTAACAAATGTCGAAAACGCACTTCCAGACAGTTAACTCTCATCAAGTTCCTCAAAAATCAATGGATTGGATGAATAGCAGCATTGCAGATTCGTTTGATGGAGAAACCCAGCATTTGTAAGATTCAATTATTAGACCAGATAATCAACTGTTGTTTTCATTTATTCGTATTCTAACTTGTACGGATCAAATAAGGAAATGGCACGTTGAACGGGGATAGACATTTAGTCATTCAAAAGTCACGGTGATTGATTGAAATGGAGAGGAGAATGATGCGACGTGTTTCACACCCCTAGGTCAACCACACCACTGCAATCAAATGGTGGTGCTTCATCCGTGCGATCGATCTTCGGCCACGGCAGTTGAATCGCATGGATCAATCTCCTTTGTGCACATAAATTGGGTTTGAACAAACGAATGCCGATCGCTTTCGCAGTGGCTAGGGTGTGGAGACGCAACGCCTTGGATGAATGAGGTGGTACTCGACAGATAACTTTGAAGGCTGATTCAAGCTTCACTTGGTGATCCGAGTCTGCCAGGTGAGCGAGAATAGCGATTCCTAGGACACCTTTTCCACCTTGTTAAAACCAGTGTGGATAGTACACTGTAATCCGCTGAGACAGTTGCCTCGTCGTTCGGTCAATTTAAGTTGCCTTACAAACGCAGCTGAAGGACGAGATAACCATAGATGAGGCCAGCGTAGATAGCGACAAATGTTTTTTTTCAAACTTTTGTTGGAAAAAACGGCCAAATGCTAAACCGATTTTCATCGATTTGAGTGTGGTAGATGGCTTTAAAATAATTCTGTATGTCTCTCGGATCATTACTAACAAAAGCAAAAATGCTTCTTATTTTTTCCTATTCTTCGTCCTCCCCCTCGCCTGGTCACCAAAATCAGACCGCAGACATCGGACTCGGACCGATAATGAGTACTGATGAACGGAGAAAACTGGCCGATTTCACCATTCCGTACAGTGAAACCTCGGGAATCTCGATGATAACTTTGAAAAAGAAACAACATGATATCGCCAAGACATATTTTATCGATGCATTCACAGTGTAAGTGCATTGTTGGAGTACTGATTAATTGTGCGCGACCCCCGTAAAATAGTGTTTTTCATTAACAGGTTCATAAGGTCCTTCGAAGAATGAACGGTAGTTCATGACAATGGATATGAATGAGGAAAGACCGATGCCTTTATAATTCAACCACGGCATATAGATTAAAATATGGTCCGTTATTTTATTCACAGTGTACAGGTATTTTGGCTGTAGATTTTAACTAACATAATAGCTAAAACTATGCACACTAGCTTAGCTTTGGAAAACATTTCTAGCCAGTCAGGGCATGCAGAAGACCATGAAATACGTTCTTCATTCGGCGCGAGCTTGAATCACTCACTGGTTAATCACTCACAAATACAAATGTGAAGGAAACGAGCACACAAGTTGTGTCATTCTAGATATGAAAATATGGGTTTAGAATACTCCGAGTCGATTAGGTGAAACTAGAACGATAAAATTATCATCGTGAAGCTTTTACACATAGGCATTTGAATCTGAATCAGATAGAGTTTCATTTGATTAGATTTTAATAAACAGAAAGACGGCTGCAGCTGGATACTAAAGCAGTTGCATTCTCTATTTAGATCGATCGCAAGTGTTACTGCATAAATTTTTGTAGTGCTAGGTTAATGGTGAATCAATATCTTACATCTACGTATGCTTACCGGATATATAGTTTCATCTTTCCCCGACTATGCACGTGTACGTGCGTGGGATACTTGGAGTGATGAATATTGACGCACTGCCGAATCTACAGGACTAAATGTTTCATCTACGCTCTTCATGAAATTCACTGAAATCATTGTCCTATGCACTAGCCTTGCGTTCTTCTTTGGAACAGTCCTTATATGTCATTCTGTCACTTGCTCTTCACGTATCCCAGGTATGTCTGGGTCAGTGTGGGTGCAATCATACTGGTCTCCTCCTTTTTCCTTTGGGTCGCCTCGGAGAAGACCCCGTATGTTCTGCAAAAAAGGGAGCAGCAAACAAACGGAAAACCGTTTTCCCGAATTGGGTTTGGTGATGCGGTGTGGCTGTTGGCGAGCTCGGCATTTGGACAAGGTCAGTAAGTAGTCTCTTGATTCTCTAGCTGGCTTATGTGGTGATCTGAATTCTCAAATAGCAAACGCTGATTATTTAGCGGGAATTTCCCTATTATATTAATTTCATTTAAAGGTAAAACGGAAAATAAAACTGATAACGTTAATAACGATAATAATATTAAGTCAGAACCCAATACCACAACAATACCGAAAAAAACATTTTGTTGAATAAAACATTGAAAAAAACATAGAATCAGCTTTTAAAACATGGTCAAATGTTATTCCATTTAAGCTGATCAATTGTGCTATACTGAGTTCCTTGTTAGTAAGGAATCATAACATTAATTCAGTTACTCAACATTCTGTTCAACTCTGGACTTCTGACATAAGGTTTTACCTTTACCGTTTACAAATTAAAGCCTTTTCTCCAAGTATCAATCTAATTCTGGATGTTTTAAAATGAATTTTGCAACCGTTTTATGTTTGAAAGATCAGTGGGGTTAGGTTAGTTACTAACAATAACCAAAGCTGCTGATTTGCACCAGAATTCACGTGAATTTACTAAATGAATTCAGTATGTATCATTGTTTAAAATGATTTAAAAGTAGAGCAATATAGCGAACAAGCTTGTTTTCGTAACTTCATCCTTAGGCCTTTACAGTTATATGTGTGTGTTTATATGTAATGTAGAAATAAATGTGATTGGTCCGTAGAAGTTAACTACAAAAATCCAATAATGTCTATGAATTTTATTAAGAACAAATCGATAAAATGGGGACAGTGGGCGAAGGGGGGGAGAACAAAGGTCAAATCTGAAATTTTTGGTTACGTTTTTACGTGCAATTTGTCACGCCATATTGCTGAGCTTTCGATGCGCAAAAGAGGGAAAACCACTGAGTGTATTCATCAGTATCTTGAGGAAGCTAAACAGTGGTTGGAAATCCTTGCTCTTTCAGAACGAATGGTTTCATCGGACGGAGATACTGTAAAATGTTGAACAAGTCACCATTATGCATAATATTTGATCGTGACAGGCTGTTATTAACTAAGTAAGTTATGCGGGAATAATCAAGTGGTGAGTGGGCTGTACTAAAGAAAAACTACTGAAAAACGACCGAAAAGAGTGTATGTAGCCGGTTTTGAGTAGTGTGGTTCGATCAGAACTGTTAACTGAAAAACAGCAAGGGGAGAGTTCTTTGGATTAAAACAAATCAATGATGAAGAAAACTGCATGACCATTTTTGACGAGTGAGTCACTAATGTGGTAAATATAGATTAAACTGTTTTATTAAGCAATACAAAACGAACATCAGGTGTTTTAATTTGCTCTGTTGTCATAGTATACAAATTGAAATTAAATAGAAGGAAGTCGAACAAGAATACCTTTTAAATCCGCTAACAATGAATTCAGATTTTAAATTAGCTTGACTGGGGAGGATAAAATGTTGGGCAATTTATATGACAGTTTTGAGATCCACAGATACCGAACTAAAGTAAGTTGAGCGAGTTTTGTTTCCTGCCCACTATATTCTCAGTGAATAAAGTCACGTTTAGTGATGAAGGAGGATTTTTACGTCCAAATGTTTGTTAGACTTAGCCCATGCAATGTTATGGGTACAATTCACGAGATACCGTTTCACTGGTTTAGATTTTTGTTTCACTGTTTGGGAGATTAGTTATTTATCTTTATCTTTCTATTCTTAATTTTGATTCCTTTTATTGAATAAGCACTAATACAGTATTCAGGAAGCAGAAAGCGGTCAATCAAAGGGCTGCCATACGAATGTCAGACGCCGGTGGTGGTAGAATTAGAATGCACATCGTCAAGAGAGATAAGTTGGTGACATTTACCGCGTAACCACTGCCGCATGCGGACGACATTGCAGTCACACTGAATGCATCCTTTGAGGACTTTTGTCATCGCCAGTTCTCATGAACAGCATTTCGTACTGTATCGTTGGTGGATCACAAATCGTAAACCTGCCAGTTGAGTGTCAGAGTCACCCCCCCCCACCGAGATCGATACGTTCCATGGCGAGCAACTTCAGTTAATGACTATGGGTTAGATACGTCAATTATAGTCCACAGACACTAACCACCGCATAATACACATCAGTTATGCTAGTCTTAGTTTTCCGCACGCGATTCGTATATTGTTGAATTTTATGAGTTTTCCCCGTAACACATTCCCGTTTGTTATTTCATCAGGAGAATCTGTTGATCCGTGCAACCTATCAGGAAAATTTGTCGCCGGAGGATTGATGGTTTTTATCTTCTACCTGTATCAGCTTTTCATTGTGAGTCTAATCGCCCGGATGGCCGTGAGCAGTAAAACTGTTAACACAGTGAGCGTGACCTCGTTGGTTTATAATTCAGATGCCAAGGTATGTTTAATCTACCTAAAAGAATGCTCGAGATCTCTCACGTATTATATTATTATTATTATTATTATATTATATATATATTATATTATTATTGTTTGATGGTTTCTTTTATGTACCACAGAGCTGATAAATGTCTATTGCTTTGACACTGACCACTTCTAATGCATTGCGCCTCATCCGGTGATGTAACAAAAAGCTGATCGCCTTGACTAAGTCCCACGTTTTTCAATTTTATATATAGCCTTCTGATTACCATATTTCTGGGATCGGTACATTTATAATGCACCAAAGTCCTGAAAACTTTCTGCATCCTTCCGACTCTCAAGGTCAACTATGGTGTGGCTTCTATCTAATCAGTGTCACTCAATCCAAGTCATTGCTCAACGCCTGACTGTCTGTTCTGCGCTGTAGTCATACTACTCACAAATAAACTTGGTGTATTTGCTGCCGTTAGCATCCAGGCTATCAGGTTAGACTAGCATGCCAAGGTCTAAATCCAACTGATTTGTCAACCTTCTAATAGAGCTTTTGAAGCACTGTGCCGAACTCCGGATGTGTTGAGGAAGATATAAAATTATCTAACTGTCACCAAAATTTACCTGGTACAGCCAGAATAATCCAGTTTGTGTTGATTTCATTTTGAATTTGAATTCACGAATTCATGCAATGTTTAGAGTAATCCAAGCGCGTAATGTTAACTAACGTTTCGCGCAATAATTGCACTTGGTTTTTAGATTATCCTGAAGTAGGAATTCGCACTTGCAAAACGTTTTGATACGTTTATAGTACAAGAGGAGCAACTTTTCAACTCTTGAATCCAGTGTTCCCAAATTAATTATCTATGTAAAACAAGTAATTAATTAATAAAATTAGCTTACAACTTCTTTCATTTTGAAACGTCAGCCAATTAAATGACTGCAATATTTTCGTCTAAGGCCCACGGATTTAAACGTTTCACGCATGGTTAAATTTGACGGTGGTCTACGCCACGTGGTCACCACATTTGCCTTCGATGGAATTTCAGGTGCTGTCTAACTTCCATGGTGCCAGAAAATTAAGCCATCTGCTGAAATCAACAGAGAACGTTTGAACAAACAATAGCAATTTTAGTCCGATGTGGCCAGAGTTAATTCGCATATTAGTGGCACAATCGACTTCCATACGGGAGGTCCGGAGAATTGGGCGGATATGCACTACAAATGAGTCATTACAAGAGCCCAGCTCGATGTTGAGGATCTCCAACGATAAACCAAAGGGGAAGTATGAATATGAGAAGCCAGGCTTCCCTTGGATTTTAAGCTCTTTTTCTTTATTGTGTCTTCTTACTGTAATTTCTTCATTTTGATTGGCAAAGTTTTGCAAATTCACGTTATTCAATGGAATCATTCAAACCTGGTTCCATAAAGATAATAATACATACCAAAATAGCACAAATAAGTATAGGCTTGCAATATCAATGGTCCACAGGTGTCTTCGTAATGCATGACATTTCGATTTCCTTCGATTCCTTGATAATCTCAGTGCCTCAATTTATCAAGCCGGATCGCTGAGGTTTAATCCGTAATTTCTGTTTACTTCATAATATCTGATCACTCTTATCTTTTTTTCAGACTTCTGTCATATTTACTGTTGAAATCCTAAAAAGTATCTTGTCTGTGCTTGCTAGAAAACAACACATCGAGACTCTATTTTCACGGGCACTCAGTCAGGAATCACTGAGTTGGATGCCTACAGACAAACAATGCATTGGTGCACGAGCCTTTGACTGACTTACAACTGTTATTTTCGTTGATTGGTTGAATTCCCGTTATTCTTGTTAATTTGGTATTTCAAAACGCCATAAAAATGACATATTGCTCTTAAGTATGTTTGACTGCCAAATGATGGTCACATTTACACTTTGCCCATCTTTTCTCTCGTTCAACCCATGCCCCGTTTTTGCAAACGCAGTTCACAATGCGTATCAATTCAAACGAGATGATTTTTTTCCAAGTAAACCAGCTAGCGGAGAATCGTCTTTTCGACAACTGGCAGAAGAAGTTCACTGCTTTCAGTAAGTGTGAATAAATTAGCAAATTTGAATTAGTCCATTCGATTATTCAGAGGCGTTAACCTGTGCTGGTGCTACTTGAAGTAGGTTCTCTGAAACAGTCCAACATTAATTTGTCTTAAGCAGGGGAATCATATGTTGGCTTAAACGTTTGCATTTAGCAATACTCACCACATCCCAATTTTCGTGATGCAAATTTACGCTGTTTGATTACCAATTTGGTAAACGATACCATAACCAAACGTCTTCTCTTAGTCAGAAGATTGTGCTGAAATATTGAGGCAAATGGGCTCTGGATTGCGTTGAATGGATCTGTTTTAACCTCAACATCCTCAGCGATGGGGCGGAGGGGAGAGAACGATGATGGTCCACAGATGCAGAAAATGAATCACGTCTATCCAAAGCCAAACTAAGTTATATTTTTACTAATTCGCGCAATCCAAAATGGCCGGCATCTTTAGCGATTACGAATTCAGTGCTCTGTTTAAAAAACATGGGTAAATCAGAAATGAACGGTTTATTGACTTCAACTATTTTCCTAAATTTGTCTTTGTAAATGTATGATAATGGTTCACTTCTAGTGATCATGATGAGGGACTACGAGAATGTGAAAACACTGAACTATTCAAATAGAAACTAACTTTCTTAAACAACAGATCAACTTGAAACATTTTGATGAGTCTAGAGCATTCAGAAGTCTATAGAAAATTTCATTCTCTACGTGAAAAGCACATATCTCTTTCTGCTCCTTGTAGCTCAATGGAGTGGCAATCACTCCCTCTGGTTATACCCTATGTCGGAGCATTATGCCACGGCCTACAATCGGATGAACCAGTGGGGTATGACTGAGAGCCATACGCAGTCACTTGCCTTGGTACGTCAAGGCTGGATCGTGTTCATGGAGACTTTGTTTGCCGAGTATTACGTGTCTCAGGCATGTGATCTTCAAATGATTGACGCCGGTTTTGGCAGTTGGAATTTCGGTTTCCTACTTCAACGAAACTCACCGCTGACCTCTGTGTTTGACGAAGCGTAAGTATGAACTAGTAGAAAGCGATGCGAGTCAGCTCTATTCCGTAATTAGTGCACAATTTAATTGTTTACTCGAGTGAAAAAACATCCGTTGACGGTATTTAAATAAATGTCATCGCCGACTGATTCAAAGTCGTGTTTTTAACATTAGATTAGATGTTTTAATAAATTCAATTTAGCGTTAAACGGGATATGACGCAAAACCTGCTATACGAATTATTCGATCTCAAAAATTCAAAGTACGCGATGGTCTAACCTATAGTGTTGGTTTTATTCAAGCTTTCATGGGCTACTATAGACAGATACATGGGTATTTTGTCGTAAGCTGCATTTTAAGATAAGTTTTTCATGGAGCACAATCATTCAGCTGATCCAATGTAATTCAGTACTGAGTTAAACTACGTAGTCTATCTGGTGATATGCAAAATGTATTTATTTAAAAACGAACATGTTGAGTCATGCGCACGAGATGAACATCGCATCAATCGAAAATCCGTTTATCCTCCTCTAGCCCCCAAGTTTCATACCCGCTTATCATGAAACGTTACTTTAAGTTCCTCAATGGGATATCCAAAGTAAGACCACATGACAGTCTTTCCCGTTTTCTGCTAACCCGGATAAACAGATTCTCACGCTCACATTAGGATCGAGGCTGCGAGGCGAAAGTGAATGAATTCATCCTTCTAGCTGGAAGCTGAAAGAGCAGATCGCTGTTGTGGAATCTCATTTTCAACTCACTGTTTACACGTTTTGAGTGAGCATAACAAGCTTATTATCTGATTTGGAAAAATAATAGAACAGAATTACTTTTTCAGAGGCGGTTGTGAAAACATTTTCTCGTTTGTTTTTCCAAATGCAAGTTCAGTTGTCAAATGTCCCACGCAAATGAAGATACGGATAAATACACTAATTTTGCGGAGTTAACACAAAGCTATGAACAAATCATGCAAATTATGGGTCCAGGTGGCAAAAAAAGCGAGAAAGATGAGGAGCAACGGAAGAGTAATACGCTTTTGTGCTTACTTGAACGTGCTTTTACATGGAGTTAGGAGAAAAGATTAAAAACACATTCGGACAATGCGGAGTTAAGTGGGTAACTGGAGGCAGACAGTATTTTGTGCTCCAGTTGATCACACACTTTGGGGTGTTGGGAAACTGCACGATGGATTAAGTGAATTTTTGGTGGACCACGAAACATAGACAAAGGTCTAAGTGATCTGAATATCACACATATTTTTTTGGAATAAACCAGGAAAAATCACTGGGGAAGCATAGAGCCAATGAGGAAAGATGCAGGTAAAAATGCAGATGGGGAAATGGATAATGACCTTAGGCATCTAGCAAAGTAGCGAGCCTTCTGACTCTGGCAAATACATTGTTGGTGTGTTCAGTCCGAGAACTAGAATGATTAATAATAACCACGGAATATGCCCAATGATTAATAACACAACGCAGGCGAACATATGTTTTCGGTGAATTCCTTTTAGAGCCTTTATAATCACATTTACCAAAATGAGACACTTAAATGAAACAATTTCATTTCATTCCATTTCAAACAGAAAGGTGGATGAGTCATGTGTTTGGCAATGAGCCCAAGAGAACTCGAAATTTGTGCGCAGTTTGCATCA